AGGGTGAATACATCTCATTACACTGATTTACTGGTAGTCTCGAAACCCTACTAACTTACGAATATAAGTTAGGAGTTAACCCAGCATGTGATTACTTTCGTAAAATTTTTTCCTTGAGAGTTTCCTCGGAGCGAATGACCTCCACATCCAACAACGGTAACTGTCAGTTCTCTTCCACATACATCGTAAATTTGACTTTTTCATCCATTTCATTTATGAAGATCAGGAAATCGTCTAATTATTCTCCTCCATGCGATCAAATTGTGAGGAAGTCATCCAAATATTGCATAATTACTGTTGGCTGCTTGGGTGACAATTTGAAATTTTCCTCCTAATTGTCCATGAATACATTGGCCAACAGAGCCAAGAGTTGTGAGCCCATAGGAAGACCAAATATTTGCTCATAAATGCGGCCGTTGAATATGAACTAGGTCGTTCTTATTGTTAGTTTGACTAATCGGGTAAGGAACTCTTTACGCTTTTGTTGTGTCCCCAGGATATCATTTTCCTTTTCCAAGATCTCCAGTAGTGCGATGAGTGCTTTTTCTCCTGTAATGTTTGTATACCTGGACGGTACATCAAGCTCACCAACAGTTCGTTTCCTTCCAACCTTGCGCCTTTTATTTTTTCGTAAAATTTGTCTGAGTTCTTCACTGTATTCGATGATTTGTCATTCACTTTTCTTAATTTGAGGCATATATATTTCGCCAATTTATCTGTCGATCCATGTTTTTTGTTGTTTATCAGTCTCAATGGTTCTCCTTCGTTGCAAACCATATGCTACTGGTGCTCTTGCATCCTTTCGTATGTGTGAGTTCATTGTCCATTTTTCCATTTCCATATTCCAATTCATTTATTTCAGCATTTCTTTCTAATTTTAGCTGTTGGGTGTTTTGTTAATAGACTATACGATGTGGTGCCTCGAGAATATTTTAGATTTTCTCATTTTATTCCTTTCTATTAATCAACACTGTGCCACCGTCCTTGACTGTTTGTAGGACTATTTCATTGTTTTTGTTCAATTTTATATAGAAAATTGTGATATTATACGAATTTTGCCAAGGAATATAAGGAGTAAGGCTGGAAGGAAACTAATTGTTGGTGAGCTTTGATGTACAGTTGAGGTACAGTAATATTACAGGAAAAAAAAGCATTCGCCGCACTACTGGATATATTGGAAAAGGAAAGTGACATCCTGGGGACAGAACAAATGCATAGAGAGTGCCTAACCCGATTTTTTCGCGATTCAAGGAAGCAATGCATTCTCACACCAGCGGTTACAACTTGAGCCGGACACAGGGCTCCAAGTAATGAGACATAATGTGGGTTGGGATTAGAGAGAGGATAATTGAGTGACGGGTTTGAAGCCTGAATGGAGGAAGATTTCCAGGAACTGACATGTGCATTGGCATGGACATGTGTATCATCTGCTCTGACTCCTTGAATATGGCGTAATCGAGGACGGGAATTGAAGGTTCTTAGGCAGCCAGATTTCAGACATCCAAACAGTGATTTTAATATGAGATATATTACCCCTATGAGAAAATTATACTACCAGTCTTTCATCACCTTAAACGAAATTGGGTATATACATCTCATATTACTGATTTACTGGTATTCTCGAAATTATACTTACATACGAAAAATAAGTGATTTTGATGTTTAGCAGATGCAATTTGACAAGCGGGAGGAAAAAAAAGGGGACAGGATGTAGGTGAGGAACCCTGCAAATGGCATCTGGTACCGAGGGTGGAGATAATTAGGCTGCACTAAACCCACTTGTAACGACACACTCTTAGGCGACATTTTGAGGAAACGATAGCTCATAATTATGTGAATAAGTGGATGGGTCATATGAAGGGTGTTAAGAGAAAGAGATGCGGCACTAGAGAGTAGAACAATAAATAGGGGCGATGAATGATGCCACGAGGATTGAACATAAAATTGGTCAAGTGAATTACCTCCACTCTGTGCTTACAATGGCGCTTCTCACTGACGATGCCTGCAAAACATTTGGGAATGTACCCAGTCAATGGTCCAATGTTAGAAATCACAAATTCTATGGCAGAGGACTCTGGACTATGTACCTTCCACAAGGTGCCCCTGACACTCCGACCACGTTTCGAAAACAAGGTCGAGCCAATAACATTACTAAGGTGAAGGAGAATGCGTCCAATCAGAAAGCTACATCATTTTTGTATTCATTTATAAGAATAAAAACCTATCCCAAGTTAAGGCCTACGAAGGCAAATTTAATTTATTGTTTTTTTAATTGTGTGAATGAATAATTCTTGCAATTCGTCAGTGACACTTTGTGCACAATGGGTCAAACATTTTAGATATAAGAGTTGATTTTCCCCTGTGCTGATTATTAATGCTTTTGCTCAATTTGAGCACTCACTCGAATAACATTTATCCATGCAGATTTCATAGAAGTTTCATGTTAGCATTTTATTTGTAAATCCTAGAGCTGGATCGCCAGTTTATGAGCATATGATCCTACAATTAATCGATCTTGACGCTATAGACAAAAGCACACAAAATAGGCGAGCCTTTGTGTCCGTCGGTGACAGTCGAGATCGCAAACAGGCGTGTCTCATTAACCTAGCATCGTGGTCTGTGTCTGTACCTATACGGTTGTGTGATTAGCCCAGTCCCCTTTCCTGCCGGCCGGCCGGCTAACTTTAGGCTGGTTTTCGACTATTTCTCGTCGTGGATTTGTATAATTGAATGAGCGCGTTTACTCAACTCTGTCACCAGCTTCGCCCTCATCACGGGTACGCCTTGGTCTGCTCTACCATTCTCCACTCTCTTCATGCTTAGTTGCCAGGCTGCTGCGCACATTGCACACTCTTGCTTCTCTCTGCAGGTACCTCTAACATCCAGTAAGCCTCGGGCACACCGACAAGCCAGTCAGTGGGTTATGACGAGCCTGTCGCGGCAGACAGCGCAGCAACGCAGGCCTCTCGGCTACAGACCATCCGACTTCTCCTGATAACTCGTCGCTACAGCAACCTCGGGCTGAATAGGCTCCACGGCAAGGCAGCGAAAAGAGACTATCACCTTGGCCAAGCGAACCCTGTCACTGTGACTCAATCGGGCGCCTATGAGTCACGATTAGCATGAATTTTACAATCCCACCTCCGCCGTACATGCCCCTGCCGGCGGTCACCGGGACGGTTGGCCCGCCGTGTTACCATCACGCCCTGGCAATGCCGTCCACGCGCCCTCTGCACTCCGCATGCTGCGCTGGCAGCTTAGATCCAACTCTCTCCTTCACCGGCCTCAGCAACCACTCTTTTTGTCAAGCCTGGCTGGGCGCCCAAGCTTGCTCCGACTTTTCGTCGAATGACCTTGAAATCTTGGCCGGCAACTCGGCGCAGGCCTGCTCAGCTGCCACGGTCGCCAACGCAACGCCTATGGCCGTTACGAGTGCAGTCAGTCTAACCTCGGCCCAACAGGGCGAACAGGGCCAAGTCGCCGAGGCTCAGATAGTGCCGCCGGTAGGGCACCTTTCACGGGCCCATTCGGTTACCGAGGCATGTCTCGCTGCCACGGTAGACCCGGTCTGTCGACACCTTCGGGGGCCCACCCACACTAGCCTCCTTTATTGGCCCGACAGGCGGTCTCACCGTGGCAACGATAGTTGCCCTGGTGAAGATGGCTGTTGCCTTCTGGCCGGCGGTATGAGCAGGTCGCATTCTGTGAATTGTCTGAAAAGTAAGCACAACTGCTCTCACGACCATTTGCACGCCGTCCCACTACCGACAGTGCTCCACTTGCGCTCCCCCGCCTCCAGACAGGCCAGCCTCGCGTCCGGCCTCAATCACCGGCACACATGGGAGACGGGACCCGTCGAACCGAGACCCGGCCACAGCCGGCTCGAGGCCACTTGCCATTTGCCCGCGCTCACGGACCTTCAGACGTGTGCTCACAAGCGCCAACACCAGCACCACCAACACCACCAGCACCACCAGCAGAGCCAGCAGAGGTACCGGCTCTCCGGGCGGGCAAACGAGGCTGCAGACGAGCAGCAAGAGGATCCAGTCGGTGGTGGAGATGCCAGTGACGAGGCAAAGACTCGCATTTCGGAGGTGCGCCAGTTTTGGCGCAGAAAAGACTATTCTGCTGGTCCCAGACTTTCGCGGGCGCGCAGCGTAGACCCGCTTCCCGGTTCCTTGCATTCTCAAGGGCCGGCTCGCGACGGCGGGCGATGGCGAGCTGATTCAGTTCAGCTGACGTCTCGAGCTTGTCGCTGTTGCTGTACCTGTTGCCACTGCTTCCAGCTAGCCTGCGCCAGTAAGCCGACGGCCTCGCCGCACGTGGCATCGTCTCAGAGCAGCCAGACGAATCCCGCCTCTCGGGTCCCCCATACACTCTGTTGCCGGTCGGTGACGCCGGTCTCAGAGACGCCAGCCTCCCATGCCTGCTCCGGCCAGACATGTCGGTGCAGGAGACCGCCGCACCATCCGATTCCGGTGTCAACCAGTTTCACCACGCCAAGACGTCCTCTATTCCGAGGCTCGAGCTCGCAACCGCCCACCACTGCCTCACCGACCCCGGTTAAACGATGCGTGAGTGTCGGCTGTCATGCTGACACCTGCCCCTGTCTCCACCGCCACACACAACACAGCATTGCCTTGCAGACCGGACTCGAGTCGCCGTCACCTCAGCGACCAACCTCTTCACCGGCTCCCCATCCCGCCGGCCCGTTCGTTGCCACAGATATGCCCTCTTTCCCTCCTCTGGAGACGGTGCCCTTCACACCATGTCTGCCTCCAGTGGCGCCCAAGACGTACGTCTCTAAGGCGACTCTGGCACTGCACCGTTCAGAGGATAATCGGTTGTCTGAGGCACAGAAGAATCGGCTGAATGAGACGGATCTTGAACTATCCGCACTTTACGGCAGTCTGAGACGGCCAGCAACCGGCCATAGTCTCTATAGAGCTAGCCAGCCGCAGACTATTTTCACAGAATTTTCCACTGAAGAGGGCCTTGGCACCCGGCGATCCCCATCGCTCTACACCAACGTGAGACATCGTGTGGCCACCAACACACAGTCTCCTGTCGTCATGCCGACCTCCGGCTCCGGAAGGCCGGGACGGCTACATGAACGCCAAGTACAGACGACGGAGACAACTCCAGCAGTCAATGAGATGCTTATGCCTAGTGTCCAGGGGGCCCCATCGATGGTGACACGCATATCGCACAAATCGTCAATTTACACATCCAACGGAGCAACTTTAAGGGGAGGAGGCGGAGGCCTGGAATCCCTGGGTCAGCCGGAGAACCTGCCTATTCATTTTTTGAACGCAGCTGATGATGTTGAGTCGGGCTTCCGTGCCAGGGTGGCCCAGTGCGAGGCGGATCTTGACATGTATGGTGACCTAATGAATAATGAGGGTAAGGCAGAAGAGTATGCATATGTGAAGGGATTGGAAAGAGCTAAAAAAAATTGTCAGCATAATGATCTGATTTTGGTGGGATAACATTAATTGTTTAATCGTTTGTTCAGATGTAACATAAGAATTCTGCTTGATCCATGGGTGAAATAGGCAATATCCGGACCAATCGTGTTAGGTTTGTGAGGCCAGACTCATTAAGCATTCCATTCTTCATTTTCGCCCTAGGTTGCATAAGGGAGCTAAAGCACACAGTTGAAATTTGCCACAATCTTGTGGATAGACCTCATGCTTCCATTGAGGCCTATCATCGTGGGAAAACTCAACTATCAATTCTTCTTCACGTAGATTGGCTGGAACTTTCATTCAACCTTTAATAATAGTCTCGAAAAAGTATTTTAATTGACTATCCAATTCATCTTTTCGTGTCCACTAACATACAGTCTTCTCTAGGATGTGTAGTCGCCTAAAATTTTTACTCTGTTCTTACCACCCGAGACTTAGGTTTAACAAATTTAGGCCTATAGCTCTAACTGTCGTCTGCTAGATACCATTCATACTCTTCATATATTCCCAAGACGTTGATACGATTAAAAACAGCTTTGAGGCAGGTTGGATGCTGGTTTACAAAAATGGTTTATACAAAGGAGTAAAAACGGCCATATGTAAGGATTCGCCTCAATAATATGGAAGCATAGTTCTCTAGAAATTATTAATCGGCTTAAAACGACTTTGAAATAAATTAAATTTTAGCGGAGTCCAGTTATTACATAGGCACAGACATGCACTATGACAAGACATACACCGAATGATATAAACTGGCTACCAAAATTCCGTATATATATTCATATATATGCGTATATATATGTATATGTATGTATGCTTATAAAGAGGTGATGGGCTTACTAAACCGTGGTGGCCGAGGATGGATGTTAAGTTCTCCTCTAATTACTTTGGGTGATCACCGCTAGTTTCATATGTAATTATACACATAAAGGCACATAAGCACACAGAAACAGTTACTCCCGAATGCAGCTAGATTGAGATAAGACTTGAACTAACCAAATCACCTTCTACCTCATCATAATGCATATATTTAGGCTACGTATGCAGCAGTTTGAGCTGAGCCAATGAGTTTAATTGGGTGGATAGGCTTTTATCCTAAAATTACTGACAATCTCGAAAACTACATGTAGCAAAAATGACAAGTAGGAATCTATTCGGTCTACAATCCGAATATTATTGTTTGACTTGAAACAGGAATTTGCTCGCTTTGAGCCATGCCTTCTCTGTGACTCAATGACATCCGTGGTTATGGGGTGAAGTGGCAAAATTCCATAAAAAAT